AGCAGCTCCACAGCACCGAAACAGCTTTGGTTAGGGTTTGTAATGACATTTTAACAGCAAATGATTCTGGTCATTTTGTGGCTCTTGTACTCCTCGATCTTACTGCCGCTTTCGATACTGTTGACCACAGTATCCTCATCTCTCGGCTTGAACACTGGGTTGGATTACAGGTGCTGCATTAGACTGGTTCCGCTCATACCTCTCTGACAGGAGTTTTTGTGTGAAGGTGGGTAAAAATCTATCCACTTCAATGCCTCTTTCCTGCGGTGTCCCGCAGGGCTCGATTCTCGGACCCCTTCTATTTTCACTCTATCTGCTTCCGCTGGGGTCGATCCTAAGAAAACACGGTATTCCATTCCATTGCTACGCCGATGACTGTCAGATCTACCTGCCACTGAAACCAGCCAGTGCTTGTTCAGTCCACCCTCTCCTCAAATGTCTGGATGACATTAAGACATGGATGGCTTCAAATTTTCTAAGTTTTAACGACCAGAAGACTGAAGTCATTGTCTTTAGCCCTAGCTCAGCTGCCGCCTCTTATCCTGTGAACCTGGACTCCCTTCAGCCTTATCTGAAGCACTCTGTTAAAAACCTTGGAGTGGTTTTTAACTCGGATTTTAAGTTCGACAAACAGATCAGTTCGGTTCTGCAGAGAAGCTTCTTCCAACTGCGGCAGGTAGCTAAGCTCAAGCCAGTGCTGTCTAGACCCGACCTTGAGACACTAGTCCATGCATTCATCACAACCCGCCTGGACTATTGTAATTCACTATATGCTGGGGTCAGCCAGGCCTCTATCTCACGGCTACAGCTCGTCCAGAATGCTGCTGCTCGGCTCTTAACCGGTACACCGAGGTATGAGCATATTACACCAGTTCTGTCCTCCCTACACTGGCTTCCTGTGAGAACTAGGATGGATTTCAAAATTCTCCTCCTGACCTATAAGTGCCTAAATGGCCTCGCACCCATCTACCTCTCTGAGCTACTGGAACCATATGTTCCCTCTCGGGCTCTGAGATCATCCGATCAGCTGCTTTTGGTTGTTCCAAAAACACGACTGAAGTTCCGAGGAGATCGGGCGTTTTCAGTCATGGGTCCCAAACTGTGGAACAACCTACCCCCCAACATTAGGCATGCCACCTCCCTTCCTGTGTTCAAATCCCTGCTAAAAACATATCTGTTCTCTCTGGTGTTTCATACTGTGTGAGTTGATTTAGTATATCTTGTTCCATGTCTTCATTTTAATGCTGTTGTTTTAATTTTTTAAGGTATATTCTTACTGCTTTTATTTCTCAGTGTTACCCTTAGTGTTAAGCACTTTGATAACAGTCTATCTGTTTTAAATTGTGCTCTATAAATAAATATGACTTGACTTGACATGGGAGTTTTCCTAGAAATCCCTTTGATATTCTTAAGAAAACAGCCAGTTTAAAACAATGATTGGTTATACTCTGCATTAATGTGGTTTGAATGACTCAGTATTTGCAATATGCAGTATCTGTGCATATGTGGGTTTTCTCCAAGCACACCAGTTTCCTCCCACAAACTAAAAACATGCACGTTAGGCTGATTGGTAACTCTAGGTGTAAGTGAGAGTGAATGGTTGTTTGTCTCGTTTGTCTCTGTGATGGACTGGAGACCTGTCCAGAGTGTCCCCCACCTCTCGCACAGTTACTGATGGACAAGGGCACCAGTGACCCCCATGACCCAAAAAGGAAGAAGTGGGTAAAGATAATGGATGGATGGATGGATGGAAGGAAGTTATTTTTATTATTATTTATTTCTATATTTTTTACGACTGTTTTGTTTTTTAAATTCTCATTAAACTATTGCTATATTTTGTGAGTTGTGCTGGATTTTTTTAATTAAAAATCGGCACGCATTATTGTTTAATTAAAAACATTCTTTAATTTAGCCAACAAGTTGAACGATTTATGCTGGAGTAGGATTTCTCTTTTGTTGGGTGCCCCCACATTTATGCATGTGGAAAGTAAATCAATTAATAATCTACACTTGCACTCAGACTGCATAAATATTTTTTACAAGAAAAATAATGTACCAATTCTTTTTTATAAGATTTGGAGGTGGTTCGGTAAGGATGCTTCCTGGGCACCTCCATATGGAGGTGCTTCAGGCATGTCTGACTGGGAGGAGACCCCGGGGAAGACCCAGGACTCGCTGGAGCGACTATGTTTCTCGTTTGTCCTGGGATGCCTTGGAGTCCTCCCAGAAGAGCTGGAAGAGGTGGCTGTACTGTAGAGATGTCTGGGCCTCCCTGCTCAAGCTGCTGCCCCCGCGACCCGACTTCAGCACAAGCGAAAGATAATGGATGGATAAAAGTTTGAATATTATTATCTTTCACTTTCTTTAGTCATATTTGTACAAAAGCTTATGTACCACATTCAAAGGTGTGAGCACACCTGAGGGATAAGTGTTGTGCAGAGGAAAAGATTACAGCTTCTCTATTTCTGTTCTGTAAAGCTCTTTAGCAGTCTTACCCCCCGTGTTGCAGGAACTGCGACTGTGGAGTGCATGTGTTTGTGTGCACAAGTGGACATAATCAACACTGTGTTCAGCTGGCCTTCATTTCACCTGCTCTTGCTGCGCTGAATTGCTGATTGCTCCGACTTGTTTTCTACCTGGAATTAAGTTTTCCTCACCAGAACTGAGGCTGACGATTGTAACCCAAGGAGAAACCCCGGGGATTATTAGAGACTTTCAGGGAAGAGTAGTGAAGATGTTGATCACCATGCTAACAGCCATGTACGTGATGGTCAAAGTCGTAGAATCGGTAAGGTGATTATAATGGAAAATTTCCTAAAAATAGAAATAAAAACAATCTGATATGTGCTAAACAGGAGTTTTATTAACTAAAATACAAGTATTCAGGTATCTTGTAAGCAAGATATAACATGGATTGCTAAACAACACTAACTAAAATGATTTAATTTAGTTTAATACTCTTTTAGTTACTAATATTAAACCAGATTCAAAGTAATTTAGATAGCATAAAAATTTATAAAGTACAAAAATATTTTAAATGAAAGTTTTCAGATGTTTATATGTAACCATAACATTTTATGGTATGGTATGGTATATAGTTTATTCATTTTAAAAAAGTACAAAACAATTCCATAACAATATAAAAAAAAGATACAAAAGATTTAAAATGAAAGGCAGCAGAAAGAAGAAAAAATCTTATTATATCTGCCCCTTTTTACAAACAATTATTTCAGACATAATAATCTTCAAGTAACAGTACAAAATGAATAACTCTTTCTAATTTTTCTAATTCTAATACAAAACACACACTAAGCTACTTCATATATACTTTTTTAACAATTCAGCTTTGATCTTTTTCTTAAATGTGCACATTGCATTGCACATTGCACATTTTAATATGAAGTTCTTTGTGAACTTGCATAAAAAAAAATGAAACGTTTACTGTTATGATAAAGATTTGACCTCTGTCATGAACTTAACTTCTTGTTGCTGCAAAAGTGGTGTTAATAACTTAAAATGTCTTCTCACTTTCAGATCGGGATCCAGTTTTCTCATAAACGAGAGCCTTTGCCTTACATGGTCTCTCAGCCGTTGCCTTGGCAGGTTCACTCGGTGTCACACAGCCGGAGGAGCAGCAAAGCAGAAGAGGTCAGTGGGAACAACACGGGAAGCCCAGTACAGCTGGGATCACTGTACTTTAACAGCAAGACCCTTAATTTTATACAGCCACTAGACTTCGTTTGTACATCTCCAATTATCACCTTTTGCCATGAAAGGTGGAATTGTCTGTGAGTTTGTCTGTCTGTTAGCAAAATATTTCATAAACCACCAGAAGGATTTCAGTGAAAATGAAAAAGAAATCAACTACACCTGATTTTAATTTGTAGTCAATCCAATTCAAGATGGTCGCCACAGTCAAACATCAATAGCAATAACTTAATCTATTTTTAACAGATACTGAGATCAAATTTAATGTGGTAGTAGCTGAGACTCATCCGCAATGCACACTCTGAGTGCTAACAGCATCTTTTGGCACACCAGGCAGCAAAATGCATCACGTCACTGCATTTGATTGTATGAGAACAATGAAAATATTCACACTCACTCACTCACTCACTCACTCACTCACTCACTCACTCACTCAC